GGTTAAAGAAAAGTAGTTTCCCACAAATATTTGACATTATGAACGACTAAAAGTGTTGTGTGTTTAATAATTGGTTAATTGTTGAAAAGTGGTTTAGATATGTAAAGTAATAAAATCGTGACATATACACTACAAAAAAATTGTTATATTCCAACAGAAAATCTTATAGTAATTTATTCCAATGAAAATTCCAACGGATATTCCAATAGTATAACTTACGTTGAAATTCTAACGAAAATATTTCGTTGGAATGTATTTTTCATTGGAATTTTAGATGGAATTTGATGATTCCACGGCTATATTTTCAATGACTTTTTACCGTTGGAATATGCAATTTTCGTTGGAATTTTTATTTCCACCACCGTTGGAATCGTCAAAATCCAACGAAAATTCTAATAGAAAACTCATTCCAACGGAATATTTTTGTTGGAATAATTCTAACAGAAATAATAACATTGGAATATTCATTAGAATTGACGTTGGAATTCTATTGAAATATATTTCCGTTAAAATTTCATCATTTTCTTGTAGTGATAGTATTATATATATTAGGTTTTACAGCATCCTTTGTATAACTGTAACATGATCTATAAAGAAATGCATATAACCTGACTGGCAAAAAAATGACCATCGGATTCTCCAGAGGCTACTCGTTACAGAAATAAATTAGTTTGACACAATTACTTGGCATAACAAACGACCAAAATTGATAGGGAAAGTGTCCAACACAGTCGCTTCATTTTAAGAGGATAAGGAAGCAAAACAAAAATTCAAGCCGTTAATTACAACATTATATTACTTCACTGGCCAACTTCTACACAAAGAGAGGCACGAGACAAACGAACTGAAGCGAAGCGAAGTACAGTCATAGAAATTTTTGGGTTAAGAAGGTCTCGCTCCTACCTTTCTTCTTAAGAATGTTATGTTTAATGATTGTTGATTTTAAAAGTAGCTTAAATATGTAGTGTAACAAAATCATGACATGTATTATTATGTCAAAATTTATGCCATCTCTCATGTAATTGTGGCATATATCCATAACGAAATGCACATTAATATTTGTTCTTTATTAAATATTGTATTGAAAAATTAGAAATAAAAAAGAAAAGAATAGAAAAATATTGAAGTAAGATAAATGAATAAAATTTTTNACTCTTACACAAAGAAATAGATTATCAATTGCAAATCCGTGATACATCCCCCCAAAGTATATTCTTCATATAAAGTCTTGTGTACAAAAGTCATGATATCAATATTTTAGCAAATAATTTACATGCAGAATAGCCAATGTAAATTTAGAAATAAAAAAGAACGAATAGTAAAATATTGAAGTAAGATAAATGAATAGAATTATTTTCAGTTGGTGGATAAAAATGTTTAAAAAAAAACCGATGCACCTAATAATGTAGTTCTCGGTTCTCCACGTCAAACTTTGTGCTCTTACACAAACAAAAATAGATTATCAATTGCAATTTGCAATGTATATTCTTATATAAAAAGTCTTGTGTACAAAAGTCATTATATCAACATTTTAGCAAATAATTTACATGCAGAATAGCCAATATAAAATTAGAAATAGAAAAGGAAAGAATAGAAAAATATTGAAGTAAGAAAAATGAATAGAATCATTTTCAGGTGTGGATAAAAAAAAAACCGATGTAGTTCTCGCTCGGTTCTCCATGTCAAACCTTGTCAATTGCAAATCCGTGATACATCCACGCAAAATATATTCTTCATATAAAAAGTCTTGTACAAAAGTCATTATATCAATATTTTAGCAAATAATTTACATGCAGAATAGCCAATATCAATTTTCTACCATTAGATTAACAATATATGTAGTGTGGGTTGGTTTATTTTGTAGCGCAGGGAAAGTTTGTATTTACTACCTTCACTGTGTTATACAATAGCTAAAAAATCTTCCGTACCGATTCGTGCTTTTATTTTATTACACCAAATTCGTATTTTGTTNCATGTTATAATCTCATGATAAAAACCTAAGGTCCTTTGGGTTGGGCACCATAAACCACGATGACTTATCGATTTCGCAGTCAGTGTTTTAAAACGCGTATAGCGCAATGCGTCGTGTATTGGTCTTTATACTGCATAACGTAAATAGCGTTGTGTGTTGCGTAAGCTATTTGAGTATAAAAGATTATTTTTATATAAATATTATATGTATACTTAGATATAATAAAACTGGATGGTTGATTCTAAAAATTATCATAATATTTGAATGAACTCAAAATAGCATCTAATAAGTATTTCTTACAAATGTTTAATGTAAATATCATAATATAAATATTTAAAAAATAACGTGAATATACTAAATAGTAAAAAGAAACAACGAAAAATATAATACGATAAGTCATAATTTAATTTTAAGCATATATATTGTAATTAATTTTTTTAATTTAATTCAATTTAATCCTAACCACTAGATCCAAACTTTTTATTCTTTAATATAAATGTCAAATACCTAAAAATATAATGATATAATAGACCTGGATCGATATATATTGCACTATTCAACTTAGAGCATCCACAATCACTATAAGAAAATAATGAAATTCCAACGGAAATATATTTCAATAGAATTCTAACGGCAATTCCAATGGATATTTCAATGTTATTATTTCCGTTGGAATTATTCCAACAAAGATATTCCGTTGGAGTGAGTTTTCCATTGGAATTTCCGTTGGATTTTGACGATTTCAGCGATAGATTTTCCAACGGTGGTGGAAATAAAAGTTTCAACGGAAATTCCTACGGTTAGAAGCCGTTGGAATCGTCAAGTTCCATCTAAAATTCCAATAAAAAATACATTCCAACAGAATATTTTCGTTAGAATTTCCATTAGAATCATTCCAACGGAAGCTATACCATTGGAAAATTTATTGGAATTTCAATTGGAATATATTACCATAGGATTTTCCGTTGGAAATTCAATTGGAATATATTACCATAGGATTTTACGTTGGAATATAACAGTTTTTTTGTAGTGAATGCTTTGGATTCAATCAAAAAAATTTATATGTCACCTATGAAATAGACTCAGTCTAAAAAAATATATTCTCCAATGCAATGACAAGTAGATTGGGTCCTGCTGATGTGGCAGCAAGAAAAAGAGACCCGATATACCCTTAAGTCTAGTTTTGGACCTCCAAGTAGAGACCAAGTCTCTTTGCATTGGAGTGAATTTTATTAATTTTATATAGTTTTATCCATGTCATTTAAGATCTGAGTTTATTTACTTGCGCAAACTTTGCATTTTCAAACTTTTAATTTGAAATCATCATCGAATTTTTAGTTTTTAGTAATCATTTAAAAATATAACTCTAATCCCTAAAACATACATGTTTTTTAAATATTTTATTGTTTAAATGTTGTTGCAGAAATATAGCGTGAAATAGCGCAAAATAGCATAAAAAAGCTTGCTATTTCAGCATTTCGTGTAATTTTTTCGGAAAAAAAAGCTAAATATATAAAGTTACGTCGCGTTTTATAAAAAAAATTATAGCGAGCTATTTAAAACAATTTGTGTTAATGCAAATTTATAACATGATTATATTCCAACATATTCCCTTAATGCTAATTTATAACATGATATATTCCAACATATTCCCTAAATCAGTTCAACCAACGCTATTCACTGTTCTAATATATTTTCTTATAATTCGAACTTTCCATGAAAAATGTTTCTTTGTTTGAACATTTTCCCTAGCACCTGCTAAATTAAAGGAGGAAAAAAAATAAAAATAAAATAAAAAATGTAAATATCCGGTAGAAATTTTTATATTATAATTTATATGCTGTCAAAAATTATTTTTCCCGCTAGTTTGTTCTTTCAACTCGTGCGATGCACGGGAGCATTATTACCTACTTTAATTTTAAAATGTACTTTTTGTATTTAAATTGTCTCATGACATTAAAAATATCATGAAAATGAAATTTATATGTTATTGACCACTTTCTTATGTATAACATTCTTAGTTTGATTTTTTGGAACGTAAAATACTATATGAGTGTTCGATTTTTATCTAAAATTATGTATTATTAGTTATTAATTAACAAATTATATTTTAAAAAAAAATTAAGGGATCTTATTTATTAAACAAAATTATAGTAGAAAGAAAGTAAAGATTTTTAGGGTTTTTTTACACCATTTTTTCTAATTCTAATTCAGAATTTTGATTAAGTAAAATTAAAAAGAATCATTTGTTTTTCGTAAAAAATTCAACCAATTTTTCATACCAATACAATGATTTTTTTACCAAACAAATTGATCTGAATGTTTGGTTAAAACAAAGTGAAAAAAAATCATCAATTTTTCCTAAAAATGGAACTAAATTTTCCTAACATTGTAGCGATTCTTTTTACTAAATAAATTAAATTAAAATTAATTCTAATAAAAGATCGGAATATTTTATTAAGATTTATGCAACTGTTTCTCGGTAAAACATGGTTAAGAAAAACATAAGAATCCAAAAACATCGGTTCATTCAAATTTTAAAAAGTTGCACATGAATTGATTTGAATTTTCTTTCCTAAATAATTGAATAAGGTTTGATTTTAAATGTCAAAGATGAACCGATTTTGTTACCAAAAGGTGGATACGATTTTGAATGCAATCCTGTTCAAATTTTAATTTTGTTTTAAAATAAAAATTGCACGTGATTTTATCCAATTTGCACATATTTCTCTAAAGAAAAAATTATTCAAAAATATTGAAAGAAATTGTTAAGAATTATACAACTATTTAGTTCCTAAATTTGTATCCAATTTGCACGGTTTTTAAATTAATTTGTATTTAAATTTATTTTCATAAATCTCCAAACTTGTCATAAAAAAAAAAAAAATAGGATTCAAATTTAGTGAAATAATAAAAAATGATACAAAAAAAAGATTCAAATTTTGGCATAAAAATCTCCAATTTTGTCACAACAAAATGAGATTTAAATTTTTGTTAGTAAAGATTTACATGTGTTTTTTCAAAATTTCTACTAACAACAAGTCAACCCATTTATTTTTTTGGTCAAAATTACTAAAAATAATTTTACAATATGAAGGATGAAACTACATTAATACAATGCAACTGATTAAAACATCCAAACCAGTAACCACACACATAATTCCATAGAACACACACACACACACAAATATAAATAACAAATCAAATTACAAGGGTAACACACACATGTCCACATCATCATCATCAAAACAAGTCATCCATGTCCACATCATCATCATCATCCTCCATATTCTCAGCCAGAAGCCACTCCTCAAACTCATCCACCTCCTCCCCGCCGTAAACATCGCTCGTCTCATCCCAGTGATCTGCCCCGAGCTCCTCCCCTCGCGTCACCACGTGCACATACGGCCTACCCCTCGCCACCTCATCCACCATCTCCCGATTAACAAACCCCGTCACACCCAGCCACCTCAGCCTCGGAAAATACGGCCTCTTCAGCCACCGCAACGAAAGCTGCGTAATCCCACCGCAATTGTAAACATCCAACAACCTCAAAGTGCTCCCGCACCAAACCCTCTCGTCTACCCTCATCGAAGCCAACGCCATAACCGACGTGTCCCCGATGAGCTGGCACTGCCTCATCCGAAGCTCGGTTATCGGTACCCTACTCCTCGCCAGCTGGAGCACTCCCGCATCCGAAATCCTCGGCAGGTTCGAGAGGTCCAACGCTCTGAGCTCCGGATTCGAATCCCCGTCGAACAAGAACGAGATGCACCTGTCCGTGAGCCTCTTGCAACCGCGCAACGATAAAGAAACGAGGCTTTTCATCGAGCCCTTGCTCAGATACGAGATGCCCAAATCGGTTATATCACAGCCATCGACGAGTAAAGTTTTTAGCTTCGGAAGGCTGTTGATTGCACGAAGAGCTTCATCCCCGAGGCTTTTACAGTCTCGGAAGTCGAGCGTGAGGAGGTCCCGGTTGGACGCCACGCGGGCGATGGCCGAGTTGGTCAACAGGTGGCACCAACGGAGGCCGACGTGGGTTAGGGAAAGTGACGTGGCGGAGATGTCGTGGAAAACGAGGTCGGTTAGGTGGGTCCCGTTGAAGATTTTGAGCTTCAAGAGCTTCGAGCACGAGTGGAGAATGGTTCGGTAGCCGGTGTCGGTGACCTGGCAGAAGCCGCCGAGGGAGATGCTCTCCATGGACGAGCACTTGTCGGCCATGAGGAGGATGCCGAGGTCGTTGACTCGTTTGAAGTAGGCGGGGGAGATTTCTTGACTTCGGATTAGGCTGAGGTGTTTGAGTTTGCCGTGGGAGTTGACTTTTTGGAGGCCGTTGTTGGTGAGGTCGAAGGCCATGCGGGGCTCCATGATGGGGGAGTCGCGGAGGTCGAGGTGGGTTAGGGAAGTGAGGTTTGTGGAGAGGGTGTTTATCATGGTGTCGGTTATGTAGTCGACCGAGAGGGAAAGTCTCTGTAGGTTAGGAAAATGGTTAGGGGGAAAGTGGTGGTTCGGGGGGGCCGCGGGAGGGCTGAGAAGCTCGGTTACCATTACGGAGGAGATGTAACCGAGCTCGAGGGAGGTCAGAGAAGGAGGGGCCACGGACCAGACGCGAGCAAAGTTGTGGCGGAGGAATATGGAGACGTCGAACATCAGGATCAAGGTCTGCCGAAAAGAAAAAAAGAAGCATATTGATATTCCACTTCACTCGAGATTAACAAAAAAACACCATCAATTCCATTTAACTCGAGATTAAAAAAAAAACACCATCATACTCTATGCATTGTTAGGAGACAGCTAATAGAGTTTTTGGCAAGTGCTGAGATGCAGTAAAGATGCAATTCTACGAAATGTAATGGCTCCAATTTAAAAATTTCGATAAATATGTTCTGTCGTATTATAGCACAATCTGGTAAAGCAAAGAGAGCTGTATAATTTAGGAAGTTCACAGAAAAAAAGAAACAAAAAATGAATTGGACAGGTGATTCTGTAATATTGGCAAAGTGGCAGCTGCACTCTATTGTAAAAAAACATGAATTTTGAAGCATTTATTCGCTCAGATTATTACACATAAAAGGTACCACAGATAACAGAAAACTCAGAGACAGCAGATAAACTAACCAATAATAAGACTGTTGCAGCAAACTATGCGACAGTTGTTCCATCCCCAGTTTAGAAAAACTCTACTCCACAAACAAAACAGAATTCTTCATACTACTACGCAATCTTATTTTCTGAAGTCTTATTCTTCGTATTATTATGCTTTACCAGATTAATGTTGGACAAATAACCTGGTCAACCAGGTGGTAAACCCCTTACTTCCAAGTGACTGCAACCAGTGAGCAATTCCTCAAGATGCACTGCGTCAATTGATCTTCCCCTTTTCTCCGCAACTGAACTCAAGTACAGAAACCTGTGATTAAACCCGCAATCAATAGATCTTGTACATCAAAACCTATACCCAAACACCAATAAAGGTGAAAACTTTCTCAAACATGCAAACAAACAAATTGAAACGCAGCAAAATTACCAAAGATAAAGCCGCATTATACATAGGGAAAGGAAGTTAGCAAACAATATAAGTAAAATTGGTCCCATACCGATTTTATAATTCCATTTTTCGTAAATGGAAGACTTAGAAAATTCTCAAAGCCATTATTGTATGTGAATGCGTATTAACTTCTAATGTGGGAAAATTTTGAACTTTAAGCAGTTCAAAGTTAGCTGGACTAGGGAGCATTCGGGTTCTATCCAGAACTCGCCAAGCACTAGACATGCCAGAACTCGAACAAGGCTCTTCCTCCTCCTTATTTCTTCCTCCTTAGTTATTTCCTACTCCCTCTCTTCCTCCTTATTTCCTCCTCCCTCACTCAGCGCACGGCTGCAGAGGGTTTGCAACATTGTCATTTTATTCTCTTTCTTTTGTTAGAAATTGTTGATTCAAGTTCATTAAGTTCGATTAAGTTGACTTCAAAATCTTATTTCATCGACCTTCTCCAGAAAATCAAACTACAATTATTTTCCAACAAGAAAAGGTCCAAAAAGTAACAAACCTAAGGTCTTTGCAACTCTGGCCAAGATGTGACAGCAGCCTGCCGCTAAAATCAGCGCAATTTTTTAAGGAAACATCCTGCAAAGAGGGACGAAGGAGCAAATCCAGAGAAGAATCGTCCAAGCGCGTGCAGTCCAACTTCAAGCTCCTCAAGTATGGGTTGCTCTGCGGTAGCAAGGGCCTCAACAGATCGATCGACGGCGCGATATCCTCCAAAAAGTCCCGACAAATGAAAAATCAGCGGAAAAAAAAAATCAATTTCAGGCCGGAAAATGCAAAACCCTCATCAGATTCTTTTCAGCTTTAGATGATTAACTTACGGGAAGATGGAAATTGGGGAGGAAGGATAGGATCTGAGCGGTGCAAGAGCGGCAGGCCTCACACGTGGAGGCGAGGGATAGGATGGAGGGGATATCGAGCTTCGACATGACTGTGGCGATTATGGCGGCCGGAAGTTGATCGAGACCCGGGTTCAAGGGGTCCGGATCTTGAGGCGGGGCGGATGAAGTTGCCATTTTTCGGAGATTTTTTGTTCTCCCTTTTTTCTTCCAAGCTGTTTTCTTGAAAGTGTGATCTTTTTCAGAATTGGGGAAGATCACGAGAGGTGGAATTGTTGCGGTCCGGTTCAATCCTAAGGCGTGTTTGGTTTAGCGACTTTCAGTTGACTTACATTAACCGGCACGCCTTTCGTTCAGTGAGACACGTTCAGTCCTACACATCCAGCTTATGTTATAGCCTCCTAATAAGAAAAATGTTGTGTTCTTTATTTTTTTCTTTTAAACAAAAGGTTTTTACATCATTTAGTATTTTTTTTTTCGGTGCAAAAAGAAGAGGCCAAAGGCCTAAGAAGAGTATGAAGCTAGAACTCATCGGGAGTAAGACACCCCGATAAGATCATGGTCTAGCCATGCTCCCAAACCTATAGGAGGTGAAGCCAGTCGATGCACTCCAATCGTAGTCGAATATGCCAAGCTCGCCATATGATCGGCCGCACCATTCGCTTCCCTATGCACATGTTGGATCTTTACGCGCCAATCCCTCGCAACCAAGCTTCGAATGGTTCGAACTAATGTATCATTAGCTCCAAAACTATCATCGGCCCCAAGGATCATTCGTGTAACGCAAAGACTGTCCATCTCGGCTACAACTTGGCGGAATCCCAAGTCCCAGGCCAACTGTAAGCCTTGTAAAAGACCCCAAAGCTCAGCGCCCGTGATGGTAGTGTACCCAATATGCATTAAGAACCCCTCAATCCATCGACCCGTCTCATCACGAAGCAAACATATTGAATATTACGTAAAGTTTTTAATTTTGGTTACAATGGTTCATACTTAATCCGAAATTTTTTGTTTAAGTGACGTTATTCACCTTTATTTATTTATTGTAAATATTAACAAATTATAATAACAAAAAACAATTAACAAAAATTTAAAACACTATTTTGACATGATCGCGTCAACAAAGCTATTAAAAGAATTGAGTTAGTTTGGGAATACAGTTTTGTTTGGCTAAAAGTTGGCGGAAAATTCAAGTTAAATTCGTACTCTCTTTTTCATCTTCCTTGTCAGTCCCCAAGTTAATTTTCTTCCTCTGCACTCTCTTGTCACTACATTATCTTTCCTATTCACTCCCCCTATAAATACTAATACTATTATTTTTCATTTATTTTGCTAAATGATCATAAAAAAGGGAAAAAAAATGAAAAGCTCTCCTCTTTTCTCTCTCCCTCATTTTCTCTCTCCCCTCCAACCCTACCACAAATCTCACCGTCGCAAATTCTCAATTTTCAATCACCACCGCAGGATTGAACACCACCGGCGGCTCCCCCTTCAGCTCCTCCTCTTCTGTTGCCGCCCCCACCTTCGACAACCTCCTCCTTCAATACCTCATATCGCGCCTCCACTTCCGGCCGCCCAACCAGCACCCCCTGCCGCCCTTCGCCGCCGCGAACTCGCTCGAGGACCTCCTCGTGTCCGACCTGCTCCTCAACCTCACTGATTCCGACTCCGATTCTGAAAACAACCTTTCCTCCTCCAAAACTCAGCTCGCCAGGGAGGAGTCCAAGCTCGAGAAGGAGATCGTCCGCACGATCCTCTCCGGCGAGGTCGAGAAGTCGAAGCCTAATTCCGGCCTCAGGAAGAGGTCGGGTTGGGTTACCGGAGTTGGGAGTGGCGCCGGCACATCATGCTGTTCGATGAGGAGGATGGGTACACACGGGGGTATATATATACAGTAATTAGTTTTTGTGCTCTCGGCCTTTCACCAAATTTTTATGCTCGGTGATTAGTTTGCTTGGTGATGTCTTTGTTCTTGTTAATGGAAGAATATTTAGTTTGTGGTGCTATTTATTATTATAAATTATGCTAGTTTTGATTTTGTTTGTGGTGCTGTGTAATAGAACTTATTGGAGTTTTGGGGTTTTTGGATTGGATGAATGAAAATGGATAAAATACTTATTATGGGTTTTGGTTTTTTGTTTGTATAATTTGAATTTTCAGATTATGTTTTTCTTTGCATCTGCCATCTGGTAGTTCTTCTGAAGCGAATGCCCTGAGCAATTTTGTTTTCGAAGCATGTAGTTTTGTACTCTTCATATCTAGTTTGTTATAACATCTTGCAATGAGCCAGGATAAAACGAGTATGCTTCCATATATAGTGCTTGTTGTAACTTGTTATTGGCATATTCGTTTGTGCGCCCGTTTAGTTTTAACTAGTGAGTTGTATTTTTTTTTTCTCTGTTTCTGTAGCATTTAAATGCTTTCTTTGCAATGTTCTTTATTCACATGTTAATTCATGAGATCGTTATTTCTCCATGCATCTAGTTTCAACTTTAAGCCACGGGTCTACATATAAAATCAAGAGTTGTGATCTGTATTGATACGTTATGTAGTGAGAACTAGCTTGAGGATGAGGCTCTTCAATATGGTATGGGTGAAAAACAGATATATACTAAGTGGTTTCATAAAATGAAGGATTTTTAAAAGAGCCATTGATTCTAATTCATCTCCAAGTCCAGGCACGACAAATGATTAGCTTTTATCAATATCATGTGAGAGTATATTTCTCATATCATCTCTGAGTATCTCAAGAGAAACACACGAACACTGATTTTCAGCTTGGGGAATATAAAAGCAATTCTTGTTATGTATAAAATTCTAGACTCTCTTAAATTAACCATTCTTATACCTGAATTTGCTGTTACTTTATGTTTGTCACTGTGATTTGAAATATTTTGGTAAAATTGTTTAATTCTTTTTTTTTGTTCAGTTTGTGATTCAATTTTCCTTCAACTTAGCATCAAGATTTTGGTTATTTTCATGGCAGGTTCGAGGTAGGGGACACATCAAACAAACAGAAGGTCATTTTGTGAGATGAAATTCATGTTGTGCATTTTGTAAATAGATACTTGTTGTGAGATTTTGATTATTTTAATGGCCCGTTGTGAGATTTTGGTTATTTTCATGACCCGTTGACTATCGTGGCTGAGATATTCGAGTTGACCTCTTCTTTGAGAGTTGTTGAGATTATGAGGAAAGCAGGGGATATGTCGGAGTACGTGGATTTTTGCAATGGGGAATTGAGGTCCGGATTGTTGAGATTTTTGTTTGTTTTCTATTTGCAGGTTTTGGTTGTTGCAGGTCTTTGTTCTTTTCTTCATTAAGGTTTAGTTTGTTCAGGTTGGGTTATCGTGTAAATCCAGTGGATGGTACTTTGGCTAGTCTGTAAATGGTGTTGGTTTTGGTTGTTAATAATATTTAGCCGTTTTGAGAAAAAAAAAGGTATGATAATTGTTATGTTTTTTTTTTACCATTTAACCATCTCGTTCTTTGCTAGCTAGGTGAATCTCGAATGTAACATCATTATCCGTTTCATAATATTATACAGCTCTTGCTATGTTGACTCCTCTTATTGATTTTTCTAAGGATGTATAATGTATTGATGAGTTGTTGATTTGTATGAATCAAATGTGGCTTTGTAGAATAGTACCAGTTTTTTCATAAATAGTACCTCTTCTTCTTCTTCTTCTACGCAGTACCAGTTATTAATGAATTAGTACCTACTTTATAGAAAGAACAAAAATGGGTTACTTCAAATTTAGTCAACGTTTGCAAAATTGGTACCAAACTTAGAGTAAGATAATACTGCAAATATGGTGTTCTAGTACCAGATATCGGGTCTTCAGTACCAACTCCGACGAACATAAAAAAAACACTAAATTTCGGTCTCAAAGGATGTTTATATGACCAATAATCATTCTCACATTAGTTTCTATGAGATTTAGAATATTTTTAATTGAGTTTAATCGTAAAATGGTCATGAACTCGACACACAGATGAGAAAACACTACTAATACACTTCATTTCATTGAATGACACACTTCATCTCATAGAATCATCATACATGACTACTCCAAATTCTAGCTATATGTATTAACTTCCACTATTTTTCATCCAAATCAAGCTAGAATAATCCACGTGAAAAGGTAAACATGAAGGATTAAAAAAAAATACGATTCCTAAACTAGCACTAGTTTTTGCCATAATAATACCACATATTGTTCTACGTAGTACTAGTTTTTGAGCGATTAGTACCTACTTTTGTGAAGGAAAATTGATTATTTCAATTTTACTCAACATTTACAAAAGGTAGTACCGGACCTAGAGAAGGATAGTACCACTTTTGTATTGCAGTAGTACCTGATATTGGGTCTTTAGTACCACTTGTAATGAACACATAAAAATACCGAATTTCGGCCTCGAATGATGTTCACATGACCCGTAATCACTCTCATATTGGTTTATACGAGATTTAAAATGTTTTTAGTATAGTTTAATCCTAAAATGGTCATGAATTCGACACACTAATGAGAAAACACTATGAATACACTTCATTTCATTGAATGACACACTTCATCTCATAAAATCATCACACATAACTACTCCAAATTCTACATATTTGTTTTAACTTGAACTATTTTTCATCCAAATCAAGCTAGAACAATCCACGTGAAAAGGTAGACATGAAGGATTAAAAAAAAGTACGATTCCTAAACTAGCACCAGTTTTTGCTATAATAGTACCCCATATTGTTCTACGTAGTACCAGTTTTTGAGCGATTAGTACCTACTTTCTTATGGAAATTGATTATTTCACTTTTACTCAACATTTACAAAAAGTAGTACCGGACCTAGAGAAGGACAATACCACTTTTGTATTGCAGTAGTACCTGATTTTTTGTATTTTGTACCACTTGTAATGAACACATAAAAACACCAAATTTCGGCCTCGAATAATGTTTACATGACCCACAATCCTATCACATTGGTTTATATGAGATTTAAAATGTTTTAGTTGAGTTTAATCGTAGTAAGGTCATGAAGTCGACATACTAATGAGAAAACACTACTACTACACTTCATTTCATTCAATGTTAAACTTCATCTCATAGAATCATCACACATGACTACTTCAAATTCTACTTATTTAATTTAACTTCAACTAGTTTTCATCCAAATCAAGCTAAAACGATCGACGTAAAAAGGTAGACATGAAGGATTAAAAAAAATATGATTCCCAAACTAGTACCAATTTTTGCCATAATAGTACCACATATTGTTCTACGTAGTACCCGCTTTTGAGCGATTCGTACCTACTTTTGTGAAGGAAAATTGATTATTTCAATTTTACTCAACATTTACAAAAAGTAGCACCGGACCTAGAGAAGGATAGTACCACTTTTGTATTGCAGTAGTACCTGATATTAGGTCTTTAGTACCACTTGTAATGAACACATAAAAACACCGAATTTCAGCTTCAAATGATGTTTACATGACCCATAATCATTCTCACATTGGATTATATGAAATTTAAAATGTTTTTAATTGAGCTTAATCATAGAATAATCATGAACTCGACACACTAATGAGAAAATCATCCTTAATATATATCACAACCACAATATTCCATATATAATGCAATTAAAATCATTTAGGTGCAACATTCCGTATATGAAATTAAAAAAAAATATTTAAAATGTTTTTAATTGAATTTAATCGTAAAATGGTTATGAACTTGACACACTAATGAGAAAACACTACTAAAACACTTCATTTAATTGAATGACACCCTTCATCATTTAATTCATATAATAATTGTTATAAATATGTATTCTTTTATTTTTACATCAATATAACTTTTTTTATTTTTATTTTTTTTTTGTATATTATATCTCAAAATAATCATATTTTAACAATCTTCTATTGAAATCCATATTGCATATATAAAATAGAAATAATTACCTCTATCGTTATAAATAAAACTATATTTGTAAAAAACTAATTTCGAAAATATGAATACAACATAAATTATTTTATAACAAATATAATAAAAATATAGTTCAGTAATATTATACTTATTATTCACATATATTCTTAAATATATGATAAAAAGTTTACAAAAATATTTATTTAATGGAACCACATTGTATTCAAATTGAATGTTTCAATAAAAAGTTTTAAAATGACATTTATTTTGAAAAATAATAATGTAACTTATTATCAGTTATGTACACCGTACGAGTGTGTGTACTAATTTTAAATAGACATATTCCATATAATTTTGCACAATTTAAATAGTTGTTTAGTACCCAATATCGCGTCTTTAGTACCAATTCCAACGAACATAAAAGTATATTGAATTTCGGTCTTAAATGATGTTTATATTACTCAAAATCACTTATACATTATTTTCTATGAGTATTTGAATATGTTTGATTAAGTTTACTCGACAAGTGGTCATGAACTAAATAGAGCTTTAGTTTTAAAATTTAGAAATATTTTGATTTTCTTTTTAGGTAATTTTCATTTTATGGAAACGAATTTGTCTTTTATTTTCAATATAAATAAAATTATCCCTTAATATATCCACAACCCCGACATTCCATATTTATTGCAATTAAAATCACTTAGGTGACACATTCCATGTATGAAACTGATAAACATGATATATCACGCATTAAATTGGTTGATATCCTATCATAATATTTATTTGTTTTCTTTTAAAAAAATAAATGATTGGACACTCCACATGTATGGACTAAATTGCTCTTCCGGATGGCAAAGACCTGATCACCTTTGTATTTTGAGGCATATATCCTCCATTGACAACCCTCATCAGTACAACAAACAATGATCTTATGTTGATCATTTTTTCGGTACTTGAAAGAACGCCTATTCGCAATTGCGTAGTTTTAACAACCTTCCGGAATTCATCCGCGCCGCCATTGCACATTTGCCCCTCTCCTTTGATGGAGAATCTCCAAGAATCGATCGATTTATCTTGCCACTGATCACTTTATTTGTTTTAGGGTAAATATAAACAACAATATTCTAAATTCAATCCTTCACAAATCAAACAAAAATATATGAATTAAAGATGATTTTGAAACTCCAAACTTCTCATATAATACATACATTACTTACTACTTCAAGTTTTCGCCGGAAAAAGTCACAATCTTGCCGAAAAATATGAATTTTCGGACATAGAGATAGGAATTTTTGTGCCCCTTCCATGTACCTAACAATAATTGGATTAGAAAAAAAAAGATGTTCACATTTCCCAGCACAGATGGTACCAACAGTGAGCAAAGTGGTACTATATATCCAAACAGAGGTACACACAATCATGAATACTGATATTATGATTATTCTCATCTTATTTTTTTGTTTTATGGTCAATAACACCTAGCATTACCTAACAATAGCATAAATTTAGTACATGAACAAAAAAAAAGATTATGATCACTTTTTTGTTTTAGGGTAAATATAAACAACAATATTCAAAATTCAATCATTCACAAATTAAACAATAATATATAAATTAAAGATGATTTTTGGACTCCAAACTTCTCATATAATACATACATTACTTATTACTTCAAGTTTTCGCCGAAAAAAGCCACAATGTCCGAAAAAAAGGAATTTTTGGACAGAAAAGTACAATATGAGAAGAAAGAATAGGTAAACAAAAAGAATATAATAATGAAAGATAGTGAGATGATGTCATATAACAATTTCTTTGTGATTTAATTTAATAGGAGGGATTTAAATAAAAGATGATTAGAGGATAGGGAGTGAAATAGACAAAAATTAGTACTAGGGACTGACTTGGAAGTTAGAATTAAGATTGAGAATTTTTAAAGAAAGCTCACAAAGTTGGAACTCGAATAGTTCTTATATTTAATAAACTAGTACATAACCCGTGCGATGCACGAGATGTAAAATTTGGAAGAATAATATAACCTCACATGCATTAGGATCGAAATTGAAATCATTAAAATACATAGGAACATTGTTGAATCATAAAAAGTTCGCTAACAATCATATATTATTAAAAACCTCCTTGTACACAACATTATGAGTTTGATTATTTGGTAACTCCTCATTATCACAAACTAATATTTTCAAAAGAAACAAATCCTAAAAATTAAACTAATATTTTTGGTGAACAAACTAATATTTTAGGATTGGTGAACAAACTAATATTTTAGGATTTCTAGGATTCGTCTATTTTTGGTGAACAAGCTAATATTTTAGGATTGGTTATATGAAGAAGGCTACCTGTTTTTGGTGTTCTTTTCATTCATTTTCATTCAAACAATCTCATGCCTTGTATAATGAAATCCGAATCTTAAGCCGAAATATTTAAATAAAGAATTTTTAGAAATTGAAAAGTCAAGGCAATCAGTTCAAATTAATTAAAGGTCAAATATCGCTCCTTGAAATAAAGACGTGTGCTATCATTAACCAAATATCCGGTTATTAATATAGAGTGGTTACCAAAAAATAGAACGCGATAAGGACGCTTCATGAAAATATCAATGGGATAAAGTTATAACAGATCGCTATACATTTTAACGATAAAAGCTCATATGGAATGATTTATGATAATTATGTCTTAATGAGAAGTGTGAAAATGACATAATTAATGAGAAGTGTGAAAAAGACATAATTATGAGAAGTGTGAAAAGGACAAAAACTTACCCGTTTTGGAAAATATTTAATGCAAATCCGACATTGACCATAATTTGACCTACTATTTTGGATAAATGTTAATTCTTATTATATAAGTATAGATTATAATTAAAAAAATGATTTGAACGTATTCGAAAACTTTTATTTAATTTTTTCTTTATTTTTATTGGTTTTATATAAAATAGTCAGAAGACTCGGAACTGAACTTTTTGTTTTTTTTGTTGCGACATTTTGATATTCGTGTAACCGTGAAAAAAGATCCAAATCCAGTCGATTTCCTTGCGCGTCGATCTCCAATGGCGGATTGGTCCGTCCTCCCCACCGAGCTCCTCAACCTCATCTCCCAACGCCTCCCCGCCTCGATCGATCTCCTCCGCTTCCGCTCCGTCTGCGCCACCTGGCGCGCCGCCGCGCCTCCCCCGCCATTCGCCGCCGAGCGCTTCCCCATCCTCCCTAACTCCGGCATCTCCGACACCAGCTGGGGCTTTCACCTCTCCAAACGCACCATCTATTCCCTTCAATCTCCGTTCACCGATGATCCCGCATGGATCGTCAAGCTCGAACGGGATAACCCGGCCCGGATGCATCTCCTCAATCCGCTCGCTCGGTCGCAATTCAAACCTCTGCCCGATGATTTCCCGAGGACGTTCAGTTTCTATGATCTTAGGGTTAAGGAGTTAGGCGAAGAATATGCTCTTCAGTACATCAATTTTAGACCTACGGCGAATTCGATTGGGGAGGCGGGGAATCTCTATATGGAAAAGGTTGCTGTCTCGAATAATCCTGGCGGTGGATTCACGCTTTTGACGATTCACGTTTCCGGTAAATTGGTGGTCTTCAAATCGGGCAATGAGAAATGGATGGTGATTGATGATCTGCCTTCGCCGTACGATGATGTGATTTTCAGGGAAGGCGGATTTTATGCCGTCGATCACACTGGACGGCTTGTTATCGTCAACATTTCTGATTTGAACGTGAGCCTGGTTGCAAACCCAATTTTCGGTGGCGATAAGAAGTTTCTTGTGGACTCGAATGGAGAACTCTTGTTGGTTGATATGTATTTGAGTGTGGGACCAGCAGACGACTTGGGTTTCAATGAGGGATTCGAGTTTTACGAGGAATTCGATTGTTTTATGAGTGAGAGGACTGTGAAGTTCAAAGTTTTCAAATTGGACGATAATGCAGGGAAATGGCTAGAGATGACTGATTTGAAGGAGAGGATGTTGTTTTTGGGTGATAACTGTACTTTCTGGACGTCGAGTTTGGAAATATTCAGGGAGGATAAGTTTAAGGGGAACTGTATATTTTTCGCTGATCAGTATTCTAATGGTGAGAGTGATGGAGAATGGAAGAGTCGTGGTCTTGGAGTGTTTGATTTGGAGAGTGGAAGTATTGGGCCGATTGGTGCTCACGCTGGTTATTCGAAGATGTTTTGGCCACCTCCCGATTGGATTTTTTCGATGGCAGCTATAGAGGTAAGTTTTGGTTTGTCTGCATTTGGTTCTTCAATTGCTAGCTAAATTTGGCTTGTTAATAAGCTTTGCTGATAGTGTCTGGTTGTCTTGTTTGTAGTGGAGAGTTTCCAACTGTGTTACTTGGACATATTGTTGCAATGTATATATGAGCAGGAAAAACAAAAGGGTTCCTTTGGTTGTCATTTGGGCCTTAAGCCACTGTGTTCTTGACTAGTTTTTATGCAACTTTATGAGATAAAGTTAGTTACTTTTTAAATGTTTCAAAACAAGTGGAATTAATATCTTTAGAGCTGACTTACCTAGGAAGTTATCTTTTCATTGTAAGAAAGCACAACTAACCTTTAGACTTGTGGAAAGAAAGACCTATTGAGTAGTTTATGTACACCATAATATTGTCTATAGTTGGCCACAAAAGATTGTTTTTTCCTGTTTTGAGCTTTTATAAACTGATTTTCGTTTTTCTTATTGTGTGCAGGGTGGGCTGCGTAGACTGAATATTTAACAATTTCTGATTGCAAACGGTGTTGATCGAGCAATTCAATCTCTTCCTATCCAAGATTTCCCCGGCTCTTGCTGTCAACACAACTACTTCTAATGAATTGGTGTATAGGCTTTATTTTACTTGCTTTAGAGATATTTGTAGCATTATCTACATTGGATTTGTGTTGCCATGTGGCTTAAAATGCTCAGAGATCCATGTAGTAGCCAATTGTTACATCTTCTGAGCTTGTCTGGACAACCTATCTGGAATATTAGATGCAGTTCTCTGTTGAGTTCCTGCAATGTTCTTCTGGAACAAATTTCTGAAGTAATCTTTGAAACTAATTGTTATCTTTAAATTGTATTTTATGCTTCGTGCTAGACTGGTCACTCTTGTGCTCCTGTCTTTGGATTCTGTTTCAATGCTGAAGTGGTTGACCAATTGATCAAGACATCCAAGATATATATATATAAAAACTTACAAGCAAGCCTTCAAGCCGTGGATGAGCTTATTTCAGCTTGTCAATGTAGTAGTTGTCTTCTGCTTATCGTGCAGCTACAAGAATTATACTAATTTATTGTCACTTTAGCCTTTGAATCATTGCGCAGAGTATGTTCTCAGGGTTAGGTTCTGCGTTGAATGGGGGGTTGTCACTATTTGATCAAGTGAGTGCTTCATATCTCATTGCCAGTCCTGGTAATTTAACACTTGTGTATATGCCAGACAGCTATCAATTACTTGAAAATTACTAAAACGCACCCTTAAAGTTTGGCCTGATTAAAACAGACTTGGCTGACTAATCTCAAGTTCCTCTCTTTTACTACAGATAAATGTCACTACACCCAAACCAAACCTGGGACCTTTGTCCCGAAAGTAAGGTTAAGACATCAAACGGAGCATCCAAGTTCAGCTACAGCCAAGCTGACAAATTAAAATTGTTCAAACTTACAGTAAACCAAATTCCCCCCAACTATACCCCCCCATCCAGATCTTAAAAGAGAAAAGAAAACGAATGTCAAAACTTGAAAATACGAAACACTACGCTAGACCACATATACAGAATAAATACTAGAAAGACGGGCAAGTCCCTAACTTCAGTTTTGTCATATAATTTAACCATTTAATCAGTCACGCTCTGGGGCATCCCCAGTGACCCTCCTTGACCCAAGGTTCAGATTCCCAGCATACGACCACAGCTTATCCAAATCCGCCTGCATCACCTTGTTGTTGTCTTTACTGTGGTTTGGGGCTTTAGTGCTACTCTTGTCGAGTGGTGTATCTGTCTTACTCGGGCTGCTTGGCTGAGGAGGGGACGAGCAGAAAGTTGGGGTCGCGAAAGGAGATGCATAAGGTGTGTGCTGAATGGAGAAAGGGCTTGGGGACATCTTTTTCTGTACAGGCAGGCCATTGAACCCTCCTCCCCGGTTGAAAATCGAGTGGACCTCGGCAGCAGCACATTGCCTCGTGGCATCATCAACGTACACAACATCGTCGATTCTTGCGATTACGTTGAAAGCCAAACTCTCCATGACCCGCGAGTAACTTTCCAGAATTGCATGCCCCACATCCTGTACAAAAAAAACCTTTAAATTTCCTATTTTATAATTAACTGAGTATATAAAATAGGATCGGGTTATCATATCAACCTTGTTGTACTGGATTTTGCTCATGTCGAGTGCAGTCTGTGGAAGACCCGGAAAACGGAGCCGGAGAGTGTGCAGCAGGGTTTCAGCGCGTTGAGCCAGAAAATGATTCTTTTCTCCATCAGCCACCAAGCCCTTCACTTTACCACCCCACGATTTCCGTTTGGGTTTATCAATGTTGGGGTGTTTCTTTCTTTCTTTCAGCTTCCATACGTGCACGGCTGCCTCAATCCTGTTCGCCACATTAACTGTGTGGTGCTCCGATGACAAGTCGAGGCAATCGAGAAGATACTCGGGAGAGAACTGATCGGCATTTAGGTAACGGTAGATGATGTCACCCAAACAATCTCTTCCATTCTGCGACAGAATTTTTTTGCGAATAAGATTTTTCAGCATATCCACGTAGGACATTGTATTAAATGCAAAAGCAAACATAGTGAATCAGCACATATCACAACCCAATATCTGTATACAATGAGGTAGCGAAAATTATTAGACTAAATTCATAGAAGATAAAAAAGGAAATATTACCATTCGTAGTAAAAAAGCACATGCAGACTCAGTGGGGTTTCGTTATACGTTAAAATTACTCAGATACCCCTACCACCGAACCACGTCCAACAACAGAAAACTAAATGGGACATGCAAGCATGTGCACTTTGCAAAACTTAACAAGACAAGTAAATAAATAAGGAGATCCACCTTGGGTAGGGTTTCCATATAGGCAGTTGGAATGTCCATCTCGGCTAGCACGTTGCTGTTTATGGCCATAGCTGCTTTCAGAATCTGGTTCGTGCAATCCCTGCACTGCTGTAACCTTTTCCTTGCATCATCGGACAACCCTTTACCGGGAACTTTAGGGCAGGGCAGCCACCACTTCTCCTCCTGTCTAACCGAAGGCCTACCAGAAGACACCCCCGATGAGTACTGATCACACTCATCCACGACTATCCCTCGATCCACATACCAAAACTCAGTCTCACGAAACCCATCAAGAATACTAATCAACATGGCATCTAGTTTCTTCAGAGCTGGAAGGTTCATGCACAAATCAGAACGTGGCCTTGTCGCCATTACCTCGTACGTGCCCCCACCAGGAATTTTCTGTAAGGAGGGAACGAGCTCCACAATCGAGTCACTGACAGATAAGAGCCACTCCATCTCTCTGCACCACATTGTCTTCTTCTGTGGAGCCATGGGCTCCAGCCTCCACAGTTCCCCGAATACAGTGGCTACAATTCCCAGAAGGTTTCAGTCAGAAATGCCACAATAAAATCGAACTATTCATAACGAAGAATGATGTATAGAAACTAGAAAGAGAACTAACCAGAAAGATTGGTGATAGCATTTGATATGGCAAGGGCAGTACAAACCCCTTTACCCCCTCCAGACATGTCCTCTCCGAGTAGGAGCTTCGCAAATCTCTCTTTCATCATCTCAATTTCTATAACCATGCCAAAATTACTCAGATTAGTAATTAAAGGCTTTCAGAAGCTTAGATAAATAAGCAAAAACAAATTCGTCACAGTTAAACCCAATCTACGGTTAACATAGCTTGTATTGGTGCAAGAACAACTGTACATTACACATCCACCGACAGAAATTTTATGCAGAAGACTGATATTCAAGAAAAAGGGCGCAATCAGAAAGTAACAGATCACTGATTTGGCAACCGCATACGTTCAACACATTGTACTATTACCATTAAGATGAGATATGTAACACAGATCGATCGCCAATTTTTGGCTAAATGCTATTGTACAAAAAACGCTGTCGTCACTAAGAAACTCGATATTAGAAGCAGCAATGGACTAAACAAAACAAGCCGCAAGCACAAACCGGACAAATCGGAGCCACGTTTCTGCGGCGTCTCGTCCCAAACCACCGCATCCTTGCCTCCGATCAAGGGAAAACTGAACGCCGGCGTCAACGGCGCCGAACTCCCGGCCACGAAGGGTGAAAACCCGGTGGAGCTGGAGGCGCCGCCACCGTCCTCGTCTTCCTCCACGCCGTCTGCCGAGCTCTCCGACTCGCTGACGTCGGCGCTCAGGCTGTAACTCCCGCACCTCTCCTCACTCCCTTCCTCCGACGAGACACTCCCCATGGTTTCGTAACCAAAAAAACACAGAGATCTCAGATGTACATTCGATTTTTTGCCTCACACTAAAAGGAAGACGTGGTCGTGCCGCTAATCCGAAGATTTCTGGTTCAGATAAGATTGATGGTGAAGGTGGAGAAAAAGCAAAAGCCGACAATAATTAAAGCAAATGCAGCAGCTTCACTCTCTATCTACTCAACCCTTTCACCTTCATTTCCCTCAGTGTGTATATGTGTAGGTGGGGACGGCGTTAACGGCGAGGAGTTGCGCAGTCCGTTGTTATTAACGGCGTTAGACAGTGGGGGCTCTGTGTGTGTCTCGTTGTAATGACTAGACGACGAAATAGGTCAACGTTTTGTGGTGGCGTTTGGTCGTGCCACGCAGGCAAAGGCACCAAAATGTTAGTGAAATTTGCGGCAATTAAAAGGTTATTGGTCCAAATTATTTATTCGTCGGTTCGTTCATGAATCATGAATTTATATACCATTAAATTTTTTATATTTATTTTAACTTATATTGTCTATATTTCGAATTATGTTAATCACACTCATCAATCGTATTCCCTAAATCGTTGGATACTTGGATCATTATCCTAGAGAATAACGAATAGTAGGTTATAGAATATTATATTTCTTCAATTTTTCATGCTTGGGCAGCAAATAAGTCATCCGGCTTGTGAGCTCTCGACTCGAGCATTTCAAATTCGAGCTAGAGTTCCATAATTGCAACTATATATAAAAGTTATCTAAATAGTCATAATTAAATATATTTTAATTGAAATTTTTTAGTCAAACTCAAACATAATTTGAGATGATCGAGTGTTTATGCTTTTTTTGTCAAGTTGTGATGAGCATTGCGCACATATTAAAAAAGAAAAAAAAGCAAACGTGATTCAATAAGGTCAATGCTCGCTCGACTAGTTTGAGCCTACACTTTGAGGTTTTCACGTTGTATTCTTATTTTGAGATGTAGAGACATAAAAAACAATAATTATAATAATGAATATGAACTGTAAAATAGTTTGATATTAGTTTATTTTAAGATGTATGGCATGAAAAAATAAATAAATAAACTTATAATATTTTATGTGAATTGTGAAATTTGATTGATATTGAATGAATAATAACGATAAATGAGGAAAACAATGTAATATTTAACTGAAAATGTATATATAAAGATCTTTATACATTTAATAAATGGACTATTAGACATTACATCTCATAAAAATAATTATTAACATTATTCACGTGATAATAGAAAAAATCAAAAAAGTAATCACGAACCATTTAAAAATACTTTATTTATTCTAAACTTTTGATTTATTTTGAAATTATATTAGTTTTTTTTGAATGCCTCGTACATTTTCAATCCTGATTTCTAAAAACATACTCGATTTGAACCTCTGTCTATAGTACTTTTCACATTTACCATGATAAGTAGTAAAAAATTTTAAAACTATACGTGGCCATAATAAAGATAAATAACGTTTAGATATAAAATCTATCAAGAATGAGAACTATTTTATTAGAGATTAAGATTATTAACACTCTTACTAACCTTATTGGTGAAACAATAAAATAAACACTAATTTTTTAAATATTTAGTAAATCATGTGACTTGTTTATGTGATTGCTTGACGACTACTTAACATTGCTGATTTAATTTATGAAATTATTAATTTTATTTTTTTTTTCAAAACGATAGAGGCATTATATATAAAACCACAGAATCGAGAACAACGTTCAAATACACGACATGGCCAACGGCCAAATGAAAAAGGCTAACTAAGCTAAACAGAAAAGTGAGAGGACACGCAAGATGCGGCCTAGAATCAACTCAAGAAAGAAAAACAAAGAAGATGGTATGCAAACCACTGCCCAAAGGCCTAGCCAACAGACCAACTTCCCTAACTAGCAACCAAGGAAAAAACAGAAAAAACAGAAAGAAACAGAAAAACAGACACCACCAACTAACAGCTAACATTTGACAGACTTAAAATCTGTCCAGTCTTTGAGTGCCCTTCTGATGAGCACTTACTCTGGCATCATAGTCTTCTCAAATACCCATAAGTTCTTGCTCTTCCATAACCACTAGAGGATGTAGGTTGTTAATTGAATTCTGTCCTCAGCCACTTGGTCTTTATTGATAGAGCAAATATGCCTTCATCAGATTTTGAAAGGGCAGGTGTCCATATCCCTTCTATCCCATTGAACAGGTCCCAATCTCTATACCTGTTTAGCTCTTGTGCAATGGAAAAGTAAGTGCTCTACAGTTTCATGTTCTTCACCACAGCAGGGGCACACAACATCCACCTCAATGCCTTTTCTGATTAAATTGGTGTTTACAGGGAGAGTACCTGAAATGCACTTCCATAAGAAGTGTTTGATGGTGCCCTTGATTTTAAGATTCCAGCCTCTAAGTCTGGCCTTCTTCATTGTCTTTGAATTCTGACTTGTACCAGGGATATCCAACAGAAGGATTTTCTTCTTGATCAGATGAAGATAAGTTGAGGCCACTGTGAATTTGCCTTGCTTGTCCAAATACCAGAAATGCCTGTCTGTTTTAGTAGGATGCAGGGTGTTAATGTTTAGAATTGCTTGACTGTCAGCAACATTGAACAATTGTCTCACAAGCCAAGTGTTTCATTCCCTTCTATTCTCCTGAATCAATTCTTTCACCCAGGTAATGTGTCCCTGTGCAATATCCAGAAGCTTTGGTTTGTGGCAGGGAGAGACTGGTATCCAATTAAGATCTTCAATTCTAGTAGCAGCTCCATTTCTGATCTCCGTTCTGATTTCTTGGATAAAAATAGGTAAGCAGTCTAGCCATGTGTTCCAAATCCAGGAACCATTCTGAGTTTTTGAAGTTGCAAAAATGGATCTGGTAGGGAAGTATTTGCCTTTGAGCACCATGCTTACCAATAAGTCAGGTTGGGTCACTAGTCTCCAAAGTTGTTTGCATATTAGTGCTTGGTTGAATAAGCTCACATCTTTGAATCCAATAACCCCTTCTTCTTTAGGTAATGTAAGGAAATGCCAAGCCCTCCAGTGTATACCTTTTTCCTTTGAATCTCCTTTGCACCACCAGAATTGAGCAGTAAATCTTGAGATAGCTTTGCATATTGACACATGAAGTTTGAAGCATGACATAGTGAATACAGGAAGGGCATTGATCACTGCTTTGATCAAAGTTTCCTTGCCTGCAATCGACACCATTTTATTCTTCCAACTCCACAGTTTGGATTTGACAGAATCAACTACATAAGATAAGACCTCTGCTTTGGACTTGCATATCCCCAGGGGAAGGCCTAAATATCTTGTGGAGGAATGGATCTGAATTCCTTGCATCACAATACAAATATGAGCTTGAAGCGGAGGGGGGGTGTTTTTACTGAAGAAAACTGAGGACTTTAGTAAGTTCACTCTTTGCCCAGTGAACCTTCTGTATTTTTCCAACAGTGCCATTAATTCATGAGCCTGACCACTGTCTGCTTTGCAAAAGAATAAGGCATCATCTGCAAAGAAGAGATGGGAGAGAGCAGGCCCATTTCTGGAGAGCTTTAAACCATGCAGCTTGCCACTGTTTATAGAATCAGATATAAAGGCAGATAACAGTTCTGTGACAATGATAAATAGATAGGGGGATAGGGGATCCCCCTGTCTAATTCCTTTTATTTTCTTATGTTTTTATTTTATATATGGACTCTTGTTCCAAAAAGCTCCATCTTTAGCAGCCGTAATAATCAATTTTGATCGTACCAATGATTTCATAATTAAAAATATAATAATTGCGTGCCTTTGAAAATTAAACGAATGTAAATGCACGTACACCACAATTTAATTTCATCGTCAATTATTTAGAATAAGATCAATAAGTTTTTGAAACCATCACTATCCAAGATAAAATAAGTCATCCTAACCTGTATAATAACTTGTTTTTCAATTAAACAATGATAATATATAGTCCATTCCAAAAAGTGCTAGTTTTATAATGCATTTTATGTCATCTTCGAGGATAAAATTTAAAACAGATACACGACAATCGTCATTTGAGGGAAAAAAAAAAACAAATAATATAATAGATCGACAAATTCATTGAAAAGGGTATATCATTTTCCCTCCTATGACTATATCCTCTTATGATAATATGCTGACAAACAACAAAAAAAAATGTGATTTGAGCTCCTAATTTGGTAAAAAAGAGCCAAAATATGTTAACTTAAATAAGCCTTTGATTAAAGTTCAAGAATGGTATCATGTTTGGTAAGGGTGCTTCATTCAGATCTTGCATTTGAAGCACATGCTTTAATTACTCACGTAAATATTGATGTTTTTATTATATTTTTTTGTTACAAAGTGGTAGGCTATTGATATGGACTTGTGGTTTATTGTCCAAGGTATTAACTCTTAAGGAGTGTCCAAGGTATCTAGTTAGAGACTGAAGATGTAAAAATGAGTTGGTTGAAACAAGAGTTCAAACAAACTTTCAGTCTTCCAACAAGAAGTTTAGAGACTACTTTATAGACCACAGTGCACAATGAAATTGGTCTATGCTAGTTCAGAGAAGTGGAAGAGTGGCATTTAGGAATCAATGTGATCAGAGTGTGATTCCAGTATTGCAAAATCATGCCCGAGTCAACAAAAACTTTTAACAGCTTCAACAAAATCAAAATTAATTAAGCTCCAGAAGTGTTGATAAAAGAAAGCAGTCATACCATCCTCCCCTGGTGCCTTGTCAAGATGAAGACTGAAAAGAGCAGCCTTAATTTCCTCTTCTCCCACTAGGTGCAGGAGAGCTTGGTTCATCTCATCATTGATAGTGTGAGGGATAAGTTGCAAAATTGTTTCTCCTCCCCAAGAACCCTCTGATGTGAATAAGGATGAGTAAAAGCCGGTGATGTGACTTTCTATCTCCTCTCTTGTGCTGCATACTTCATTTCTGTTGGTGATGAGCCTGATGATAGCTTTTTGCCTTCTTTTCTAGATCATATAGGCATGGTAGAACTTTGAGTTGGTGTCTCCTTCCTTTAGCCATTGATGCCTTGCCTTTTGAGCCCAAAAGGCTTCTTCAAAAGCATGAGCTGCATTTAGGTCATCTTTGGTTGTTTCCCATTCAGCCCAGTGTTCACCTATACCACTGTCTCTCAGTTGATCCAGCTAGGCTGTCAATTCATCTATCTTGTTTTAGTTCTGGGATTTAAACTTAGAGCTCCATATGTGGCACATTCCATGCATTCTGAACAACCTCTTAATCTTCTCTTTGATTCTGAAGAAAGGTGTACCCAGATGTGGCACATTCCATGCATTCTGAACAACCTCTTCAAACCTCTTTGTGGATTCATCTCCTATCAAATTTAAACCTCCTTTTGTGTCTTGAAGTGGTCTCTCATGTGTTGAGAATGATGAGAGAATGGTTTGATGCACTTCTATTCACATTAATGGTTTTAGCATTAGGGTGTGAACTGAGCCAGTCAAAGGAAGCAAAGGCTCTATCGAGCTTCTCTTCTACGAAGCCTTCTCCATATCTGTTATTCATCCAAGTTAATTGATAGCCCTCCATAATCACTTCCTCCATCTCCATGTTTGAAATAAAGTTGTTAAATCCATCAAAGCTTCTATCAGATCTGAATCTCCCACCCTGTTTTTCCTCTCTGGAACATATGGCATTCCAATCCCCAATTATGAACAAATTGATTCCCCAAGAAGGCTTGTCCGCTTCCAGAGTCTGCCATTGTTGTTCTCTGGTGGTTTTGTCTGCACTCATGTACACAAAAATGCCCCAGCCTTGGCTCTCTTCCAACAGGTTGTAGTTAACTGCAATATAAAAATCCTTGGTGACTATTTGGTTAATTTCCACATCTTGGTGCCAAAGAAGTAGTAAACCTCCACTTTGTCCTCTAGGGTCAATTTCATGTCTGTCTGCATATCCCAGCTTGTTACAGATAGACTTCACATATGAAGAGATGCATAGTTTCAGAAAGAAAGAAAAATTTTGGGTGGTGAGTCTTAAAAGACTCTTTGATTTGGGAAATTGTAGAGGGCCCACCCAGCCCTTTACAATTCCACACCGCAGCTAACATTTAGGATTTGGGTGCCACTTAAGGCTGGGGGATCCCCACCTCTTCCAACAGTAATTTCATCTTTTTCCCTGAAGCTTTCAACAGAAGTTGTTCTTCCTCTTCATTATCATTCTGAGTTTGGCCTGTTCTGTTTCTCTTTGTGCCTAAAGAGCGTTCAATGGCTGGCTCTTGTTCTGTCTGTCTTTGCAGCCTTCATTCCCTACTTGCAGATCTTTTCCAAGTTCTCACTGTTGACACTATCATCTCTTTTGGCTTGGCAAGGTCTTGTGTCTTTGCAGGAGAAGGATGTAAGGGATGGCCACTTCTATTTCCATCATTTTGGTGACTTCCTGTAACGAGTCTTCTCTAGCCACTATCTCTTTGGATTGGTTAGGCTGAGATGTAACCTGTTCTAAGATGGCTGATTGGTTGGTAGGTTGTACTGTCTGGTTTGCTGAGTTAGAGGCAACTGTGTCTTGCTGAGGGCTTACAATCATTTTGCCTTTCATTTGGTAAATTTCCTGCCTATCTGTTTGCTGGTCTAAGAATCTGGACTGGTGGTTTTTATTTTCTGCTGTTGGGGGGTTGTTCTGAAGGAGATTGTCTAGAATCAGAGGGGCTAAAATTTTGCCAAGCTTGGCCTTCATCAGCCTTGAGCCATTCTCCAAATTGGCCATCTTTCAAGGCGTGGAGTCTAATGTTCTCGAGTCTTTTACAGCTTCTGTCGAGGTGGCCTAACATGCCACAGTAATAACACAAATTCACTAGTCTTTCATCTTTGAATCCAACTGTTACTACATCATCTCCTAACCGGATATTAGTGCACCTAGGAAGAGCTTCATTAAGATTAACAGTAACCAACAGTCTCAGCAGTTTACCTCCATGAGGGCCAGCTTTAGTTACTACCACACTTTTAACATCTGAGAATACCTGCCCCAATTTAAGGCCTACTTTAGCACTAAGCCAATCCAGAGGAAGGTTGATTACCTGAGCCCATAGGTTGAGTTCTTGAAAGCCTGGATGTTTGCTTGTCAATCCCTTTTCCCATTCTTTGAGAATCAGATATTGGTTCTCAAATATCCAATTAGTTCCTGCTGCTACTTCATTAACATCCTCTTTGTTGTGAAAAAGAAATTGGAAGAAGTTGTGCCCTAATTCTTTGACTTCCATTGGATGGTGAAGCCTCCAAATGTTGCTCATGGTGCGCTTGACGCCAATCCAGCTAGCCTTACGATCTCCAATAACTTTACCAAACAGGCTTCAACTACATTCCTCTGCACTTAACCTGATATCCGCGTGATTGATGTCTGCAACTGCTGTTTCCTTTGCCGATAAAGAAAACCCTTTGAGCCTATTGGCCAGCTCCTCGTCGTGCCCCACGCAATTCAAACTTTCCATTATTTTGGTTGTGAAACTAAAAATCGCAATTTCTGATAAAATATGTAACTGAAAATCAACAATCCCTGAGTGTTGTCGTCGAAATTGCAAGAAACGATCTCATAGAAGATAATCGCCGGACAACTCCCATGAGAGAGAATTTGTTAGAATTATTAATTCAAATATTTCAAAAAGTAAAAATTTAAATTGATAATGATGGTACTCAACCCTCAACTCAATAAAAATCCAAATAAGAACGTTCGGATAGGCCTTAGGTTAGTTAACATGTGAAGGTCTGAGCGGCGTACTTTATTTTATTCATTTAATTACTTTTTGTTGATTTAACAATTGAGAAATATTTATTTATTTATTTATTTTTTTCAATTAAGGCGTGAAGTNATTTTCTTATGTTTTTATTTTATATATGGACTCTTGTTCCAAAAAGCTCCATCTGTAGCAGCTGTAATAATCAATTTTGATCGTACCAATGATTTCATAATTAAAAATATAATAATTGCGTGCCTTTGAAAATTAAACGAATGTAAATGCACGTACACCACAATTTAATTTCATCGTCAATTATTTAGAATAAGATCAATTAAGTTTTTGAAACCAGCACTATCCAAGATAAAATAAGTCATCCTAACCTGTAGAATAACTTGTTTTTCAATTAAACAATGATAATATATAGTCCATTCCAAAAAGTACTAGTTTTATAATGCATTTTATGTCATCTTCGAGGATAAAATTTAAAACAAATACACGATAATCGTCATTTGAGGAAAAAAAAAACAAATAATATAATAAATCGACAAATTCATTGAAAAGGGTATAACAATCACCCTCTTATGACTATATCCTCTTATGATAATATGCTGACAAACAACACAAAACATGTGGTTTGAGCTCCTAATTTAGTAAAAAAGAGCCAAAATATGTTAACTTAAATGAGCCTTTGATTAAAGTTCAAGAATGGTATCATGTTTGGTAAGGGAGCTTCATTCAGATCTTGCATTTGAAGCACATGCTTTAATTACTCACGTAAATTTTGATGTTTTTATTATATTTTTTTGTTACAAAGTGGTAGGCTATTGATATGGACTTGTGGGTTATTGTCCAAGGTATTAACTCTTAAGGAGTATCCAAGGTATCTAGTTAGAGACTGAAGATGTAAAAATGAGTTTTTCAAGCAAACTTTACCATTTTATGAAACCAAATTATATGTTCAATCATGCCTAAAAATATAGATAAATTGTGCTGAAAAGAATAGATTAAATTGATTAATTTGACACAAGAAATGTTAAATGAAATGAGTTGTTCGTGAGTTCGACTAAACTCGTTTAGTAGAATGAGCCAAATTTGAAAACCATAATTTGACTAAAACCATAACTCAAGTATAAGACTATTACGAGTTTTAGCTCGGCTCATCACGTTTTCCACGCTATTTAAAACCCAAGAAGCTACCCTTATTGGATTTTTTACCTATACACTCACAAACAAACTTACATAAATGTGTGTTGATATAATGTTGAAAAATACCATAAAAGACTATTCCACCGATACACACAATTTCCCTTATACTACATTTGTGTTTAATATGTGCAATAATAATTGTATGGATAGATGAAAGTAACCTTAAATAGTAATTAAAATGAAAATTAAGGCCACTGTTACTTTTGCAGGGCTAATAACTTGCCTGACGTTATCTTTTGCCTCAACTCCCTGTCCGAGTCGGGCCGAATAATAACGACAACTGCAATTCCATTATTATTTTTTTGTTAACTGGGCCTTTTGTCCTATAGTCGTTTTGGGGCCACCTATTTTAGCATGACACTTTTTATAATAAAAGGCCCAACAATGAACCGTAAGCTGCGGTCTGTGGGCCACAGTGATCCATAGGCTATATTCGGCTTCCTTTAATCGGTTATCCCAATTTAAGCAATTCACAAATCCCTAATATTCCTTTTCTCTCGATATTTTTCCTCAAGAAATCATCTTAAACAGCGAAATTCAATCACGAAGAAGGTAATCTCCGCAGAAAAATGCCGAAGAAAATGGGAGTGAATAGCAAAGCCGAGGCGGCTAGGGCTCGGAGAAGCGCCACCGAGGCCGATCGGAAGGAGCGCGACGCCAGGGAGAAGGAAGAGCAGTACTGGCGCGAAGCCGAAGGAGCCAAATCGCGAGCCGCCAAGAAGCGCGAGGAAGAAGCCGAGAAGCGGGCCGAGGCCGCCGCCAAGAAGGCCGAAGCCCGCCGATTGGCGGAGCAGGAGGAGAAGGATCTCGAGAAGAGCATGAGGAAGCCTGATAAGAAGGCTAACAGGGTGGCGGCCCCCCTGCCGAAGGTGACGGAGGTTGAGCTGCGGCGGAGGAGGGAGGAGGAGCAGGCGGCGCTGCAGCGGCGGGCGGAGGAGGAGAAGAAGAGGCAGAGCCGGATCGCGGACGAGGAGGAGTACGAGAGGATGGTCAGCTTGGAGAACACTAATCGTGACGATTCGAAGATTGAGGCGAGGTCGGTGGAGGAAGCTATTGCGCAGATGACGCTGGTGGACAGTTTGCCGGTGGACAAGCACCCTGAGAAGAGGCTTAAAGCTTCATTCAAGGTATGGCTAAAAATTTTGTGCTGTTCTGGATTTATCTGTATGTTTCCGTAGGAAAGGAAAAATTTATATTCGGTTTTTTCTCTTTTGTGTCTGTATTAACATGATGTCATGGTGAATCAGATTTTTAAGCTGATTGTTTTTGTTTCTTTCTTGGGCTGTTTATATGGGTTACTGTTTCACCAAAGCGTGTTCTTTTTGCCCATATTTTGTGTTTGTAGGCATTTGAAGAAGCTGAGCTTCCTACGTTGAAGGAAGAGAAACCGGGTCTCACACATACTCAGTATAAGGATATGATTTGGAAGCTCTGGAAGAAATCTCCTGACAATCCCCTTAACAAGGTAAAAACGCGATATTTGGTGAATAAGATGATTCAAAAACTTCTCCTTTTAGTGGCCCTGGTAATTGGTTAAAGTTAATTTGAGATGATGTGTAAACGAGATCTTCTGTTTATTTAACAGTTGTAGCTGTGGAGATGCAGGCATAATATAGTCATAATTCGTAATTCTAAAAGTAGATTGCTTAGACCAATTAGTGATTTAGAGTATGTTTGGTAAGCACCATAAGCTAGCTCATATCTTGTTTGGTTGGCTTATAAGCTTCCCGTTTTCAAAGCTTGGTTTGGTGAAAAAGCTCAAGTTTATCTCATAAGCTTCCTTGGGTGGCTTTTCAGCAGGCTCTAATTTTACCACACACTTTTATTATATCAGCTATAAGCTCGAAATTCACTTATTAGCTATCAACTAACTTATTAGCCAACTAGGTTTACCAAGCATAGCTTTACAAATGCAATTAAGTAATATATTGCATGGTTCATTCCTCATTAAATACTTTACCTTGAAATTTTTTTATGTTTAACCATTTCCTTCTTCTAAGTGCAGATTGTTTTTTGGTTCCTTGACTTTGTGCACCATTGTCATAGAATGACAGCAATTGTTTTGTCCCAATTTCGATTACGCAGGTAGCTGACAAGCCTTGAATGCATCATGGCTTGTGCTGTGGGGGACTTGCGGAAAGTGAGCTTCAGATTCAGTAACTGTGTGATTATATATCGACAACTATGTGCGACTCCATTCAGTCTTTTGTTATCCTTAATTTGAAGCATCCTCTGCCAGCTGATGCAAGAGATTGTGATAATAAAGAACACATTGTCAATAAACTTAAATAAGATCCTTGTATTTTATTATAAATTTATGTTGAACCGTTTTTGGTTTTGGCGGTAGGTTATCAGATACGTTTGACTTGTGAAAATAGTGGAGCAAATATTTTCTTTCTCATATTGAGGAAATTTTGATATTGTTACCTGGCATGTCAGTTCTGAAACTTATACCATGTTTGGAGCATAATTAGTTATCTACGTGCTTTGAATTTTTTTGGGTTTGAGATTCGTAATGTGAATGTTACCTGTATGGCTGTATCTATCCCAGCACGGATGGTTTTGGTTGCGATAGCTGGGCATGACTTGATTCGTGTCGATCTAAATCTTTTTCATAGATATTTTAATATCTAGGCTACATGTTTGTTTAATTTGGTATCCCATCTCTTACAATTTGTGGTTAAGAGGGGAAGATAGTGCTGGCTATGATTGTGTAATGTCATATGGAACTAAAAACCAGTTAATGGATTTCTGGATGAGCAACAGCTGGTGACACACTTATGTGTTGAATTTACTTGCACCATGCCTGTACAAATTCTATTTAGATAGAATGGCAGGAAATGAATGAAATTCGTTTTTTCATATCTAGTCTGAATAAGCTGATATCAGGAGACTACAGGAGCTGATCTTTAGGCCTTATGCTGCTGTTGACCTTGAAATGTCCCAGAATGTTGTTAGTCCATATACTGATATTGACAAAAGATTTTGAGGTTGAATTTTACCCAACACAAGGTTGACATCGGTAGATTCTATGTTGAGTCTTTAAATTTTGCTGCTGTTGGTCCTGTGGTAGGTGCACAGCTCCTCGTTTTAAAAAAAGATTTTGTTAAATAAATTTCTCAATTAACGAGCTTTTGTCAAGGAATGCCTAGATAAAGTTTGTAGCACGTTTAAACCCGTTCTATCAAGATTGCCAGTTCCAGCTGAAGCGAAGCTTAAGCCTTTCTGCAGATGCTTCTGAAAATGATGAGATTTTAGCAAATACGTAGACATAAAGATGGTGAGATTCAATTGAGATAAGCAAAACGTTTACTACCTAACCGTCTGTAAGTTGGGAAAATCGACACTTTTGGGAGAAAATCGGCTCTAATGAGAAACTATGGGTGGTAACATAGCCATTAGATGAGAAATTATGGTCGTTGAAAATTTTATGCAGGTTTTTTAAGGATTGTAGTTTAGCTTTAATAGCAAAAGGGATAAAGTAACATTGAGGGGCTAGCAGTTTTGTAACTTTTGTTAAAAATAGCAGATTTTTGTATCACATGTGTTGAATTTTGCATTGCGGAATACAGATTCAATATATTATCATTTCCAAAACTGCAATTTTTGAAAAAGGGCAAAGTCATAGCATCAAGAAGTTTAAGGACCGAACCGAAAATCCTTCAAAAGTTACGGGATCCAAATTAATATTGCCTACACAATTTGCCAATATCAAGAACATAAATGGTAACAGGACGTCGCTGTTTTCCTTATTATTTGTTTTCTATTTTCACACTCAACAGTTAACTGATTGATTACTTTCTGCAAATTCAATAAAAGCAGTGAGAATCAAATTTTAATGCCCGAGTGAAGAAAACAAATAATTTTCTACTTGACTTGTCACAGAACTGACCCAAATATAGCACTTACCATTGCACAAATTAAGGAACTTGTGCTAATTCAGTATGAATAGAATCCCCCTTTGATTAATTAGTATGAATAAGATGGTTAGCGGTCCTAAAGTTTATTGGTAAACTGTTTTGACTATGATTATGTAATGATCAAAACATGTGAAAATTTCCATTAGTGAATTGTATTGACTATGATCCATGAATTACAGCCAGAAACATTTCTTCTTTCTTTTTCCTTCTTTTACTTTTTTGGTGCAACAAGAATTCAAACTAGGAGGGAAAATGTTTCTATTTCTATTTTCTCTTTTGCAGAAGGTGATTAAACAAAGGTCTTCTCAGATTTAGACCTGTTACATTGTGAAGGCCAGCGCCCGGTTGACTCAGAGTTTATATGCCTTTCAAGTTTCAACATATGCTTTCGAAAACGATGAGAAATGTAGCTAAAAAAAATGAGCATTAGTTGGACGATAAAAAATAAAATGTGGCAAAAGGGTTAACTCATACATGCATATGCCTTATGAGGAAATAGAACTAATCTTAGCATGTTTGGATATAAAATTTTTTGGTGTTGTTGCATTTTTTGATTTCGTTTGGCTAATTTTGGAAAAAGGTTGTATAGTTAGTTGTTAATAGGTATATTAAAATAATATTTAAAATAAAATAATTAAAATTGATTTGATGTAAAAGTAGGAGAGTGATGGTTAGTTAAAATAATGTGAGTGGATGAATAGTGAATTAAGGTTAATGTGGTGTGTATGAATGATTGATTGATATTATTTAATTATATTGATAATATTGATGATAGTGGAGTTGACTTAAAGTTGAGTTAAAAATAGTGGTTGAGTTAAAATGTTGGAACTTTTTTGAAATTTTTTGTATATGTTTAGTCTACTATTGAACAAATTTGCAGGCCTTTTATGCATTGAGTTCATCAGAGTTCAATGTAGTAAGGTGTAATTGCTCGAAATGCATGATTCCAATCACATTTGATCAATCTTTCAAAGACCAGAAAAAATGAAAATGGCATTGATTTCACTTCAACTCTCTGACACAAGAATGAAATTTTTTCAAATGGATCAAATCTTACAATTGTTTTCAAATCTGTAAAAATAAAAAATAAAAATCAAATCTTTGATCGCACACGACATCAGCTCCATCCCTCGACATAAATCAGTAAACAATACGAGAACTGACAAAATAAAAAGAAAAAAAACTCTCTCTTTTTNTTTCCTTTATTCTATAGAGACACAAAAAAATTCCGTGTACTTTCAGGCGTGTGTATGCATGTCGAATGGCGCAAAGTTTACGTGCTTCTCCCTACAGCCCTCCCACAAAGTAGAGCATTTTTGGGAATATCATATTCATCTCTATAAGATTTAAACTCCGAGTGAACGCGCAGGTAAAACTGCTGGCCAAGATACTGCCTTGCCAAATGCTCGCTCCTCATATTCCACATTCCCACATTGTCAAGTGCCACATAGATTGCAGTCCACCCCTTGGGATAAACCTGCTCGATTAACCGCAACATTCATTAATCGAAAGTTTAAGCATGTTTTATTAAGCAGGATAAAAAAAATCATATAGTTACTCATGTTTCTTGATTAATTTTCCTTTTTTTCTCTTCATTTTTACCTGAGCAGTCGAGCGAACCACGGCGTCAACCAGATTGTACTGTTTTCGGCTTTCACGCTTCCACTTGCCTCCATCCATTCTGCAACCAAAAGTATATATTAACAAAAAAAATTCTTTAATGTAAAAAGTGTAATGCTGATTCATTAATCACTCACCCTACTACAAAGAAGGCATAGCCATCGAGATGATAAGTGTGCAAGATCTTGTCATTATTCTCCAAGACAATCTCGATGAAAGCTCTGTAATCAGCTCCCATAACCGAAGTCTTGAGCTGGACATTACGTTTGCCTTTAGGGGGTCTGTCGGGAATGCTCCCGACAGAAAAAACTCCCGAGATGTTGTAATAATCGGCCAGCTTCAGGGGAGTATCGGCCGCGACAAACGAGACCCCGTTAATGGCGTAGCGCTGTTTGCCGTTAACTTGTGCTCCCGAGCTCGCTAACCTGATGGTTCGGGTGAGGTTGATTTGTCCATAGTGGTAAGATCCTTGAGGATTGGGCCTGGGCCCACTAGCTGTCAAATTAGTCCTGATTGAACGGGCCTGTTGTAGCGACCAGTCCACACCGGTGGGCGCGGGAGGCAAAGGGCCAGAAACGGGCTTCGCTTGGGAACCGTATTGAAGAATGGCAGTGGCATTGAGGTTTTCGGACGAAAAACGGGAGGATACTACTATGTGATAGCTTATGTCGGGAGTTTGGTCAGCTGTGACGAGGACTGAGTATGATTGTCCTACGTGGACGTCTAGTGAGTCGTACTCATTCTGTACCGTGTGCGTGCCTTCCACCTCAACCAGCTTCATTCGGTGGTTTTGAATCCGAAAGTTTAGTGTGTTTTTTACGCCCACGTTCATTATCCTAAACCGGTATGTTTTCCCTGAATAATTTTTATTAAAAAAAATAAAAATCGAATATCAGCTAATTTTACCAAATACTTTAATTATATAAGCTAGCTTTTCAGCTATAAGCTTGAAAATTACTCATGAGCTATAAATGATATGTATTGAAAGAAATAACAGAAAGATAACTCCAACAATTTATCGAAGAAAACTACCTTGTTTGACTATGAATTTTGAATCTTTGGATTGGCCGTTGATGAGGACGCCGTCAGGGGGAAGAATCATCTGGCCTAGCTCCAAAACGGACCTCAAACGCTGCAAATTTTTCACGACAAGAATGCATTAGTCGCAATTCTCTCGGCAAATTCAACTAATCGACTAATAGAAACAGAACTCTAATCATATAATGACTCAAATGCATGT